ATTCAGCAGTAAACATTAAACATATATTAAAGACACTAGAATTATGAAATTACATATTAAAAAGTACTAAAGTCCTACTAAAGTGGTTCAAAAAGCACTCCACTTAGCTAAAGTTCAGCTATTTGCATTCATTCTAAATTTAAACTATACTATGTTTAATTACAATTAACATGCAATTTAGTGTCCAAAAACTTTACATTGTTTGCAATAACAATTTTAAAACTACTGTATACTTCTTTTTCACAAGGTTATAGGGAAGCCCTGATATAGCACTAAAGACTGCTGAGTGAGATGTAACTTTTTTTTCTTTTGCATTATTAAAACGTTTGATGGTCCCTTTTATCATTTCATTCAAGCTGGTGGCATGCACATTCATAACGATGTATCTCACACATTATGTACATGCACAGACAGCTGTATGTTCTGTATCGCATACCTAAAGGTGGTTCTGGTGAAATTCCAATGCTCTGCAGGAGAGCCTCTGTCTCTCTTCTCCTTCTGTCCAGGTCCGAGTCTTCTGACACATTCTCGGCCCTCTGAAGCATCTCAGACTGCATCACAGGTCAATCATTAAGTGTCACAGAACAAATAGTTGCAGGTGATAAAATGATAAATGTCTATTATATCCAACAAAAACAGCACCTACCTCTTTTTTCTTTCTCTCTTCCTCCCTTCTTTTCTTCTCCTCTCGAATCTGGGCTAAGCGCTGCTTTTTGCGCTCAAGCTCAGCTTTCAGGTCACTTCTATCAGCCATCTTCTGTGTCGCTCAATCTATGCACAGTATGAACAGTTTTAGTTTTAATTTTAGTACTCGTGCATGAATTTTGTCATGTTTCAACATTCATTAACTGTGCTACACAAACTTTTGACAAAGAGAAACATTAGGGGCCATCCAGAGAAAGGTCTGTCATTTTGTAAAGGTCTGTTATGTGTCTACATTATGCATTTGGCTGAAGTTATACATTCAGCTTCATTTTGACGTTTACTGAAAAGATCAGCCTGTGTGGAGGCCCATTAATCTAATAGACACAGAAACAGTGCAAGCCGAAATACTGTCTGAATGAACAATGAATAACATATACACTGAGAAATTTAAGATTTATTTCAAAGCACACTATATGCAACGATACATCTGCAATATATTAACAAATAAGCAAATGAATACAAACTAAAATACATAATGTAATTTAAACCAGTTTTTAAATCTGTGTGGTAAACCTCCTGCACGTAGAAAATTAAAAAAGGGATGATTACATTCAAATACATTGCACACTATCCTTATATTCTGCAATGAGAAATTAAGTGATTGTGGTCTATAAATGCACTACCGACAAGAGAGAAAAACAGAAAACACATAGGCAGGTAAACTAAAAACACAATCCTGTTCATTTACAAAAGGCAGTCGTTGCATTTCAATGAATGAAAGCATCAATGCAGTCCGCAACAAAGCCTGTTGTGAGCTATATGCTATAATGCATTAATTGAACGATACCGTCTTCTTTATTTCGACCCAACCAGGACAAAGTCTGCTGCGCTCTTTCACGTAAATGCTGAAATAAGAGGCTATAAATCTACACATGAGCATCAACAGCTAAATAAAAACACAAAGCATCACCAATTCACTTCAGTCTCATCAGCACCCAAAGCCGGAAGTGCTCAATACCGATACGTCATCAACACCTCCCAGCAACTACCGGCAAGTGTTTCGTCGTCAGAAAGATGATGAATGTTTTAAACCTTAATGAGATGGCTAAATAGAGAACATTTGAATGTGTTTATGGTCATAGATATATAAAATACGTTTATGATGCCCAAAAATGCAGTCTAGTTGGGTTCAGTAAAATAGCGTATATAATATATATATATATCTACAAGGGTTAAATTGGGATTTGTTATGTGGGGGGGCTCTATTGTATAAATTGTATGTATATGTGTGTGTGTGTGTGTGTGTTGTTGTTGTTTTTTGCAAATATGATTTATTCTGAAGCAATATTCTCATCAGTTTTCTCAGCTGTGACATAAGGGATGATTACATTCAAATACATTGCACACTATCCTTATATTCTGCAATGAGAAATTAAGTGATTGTGGTCTATAAATGCACTACCGACAAGAGAGAAAAACAGAAAACACATAGGCAGGTAAACTAAAAACACAATCCTGTTCATTTACAAAAGGCAGTCGTTGCATTTCAATGAATGAAAGCATCAATGCAGTCCGCAACAAAGCCTGTTGTGAGCTATATGCTATAATGCATTAATTGAACGATACCGTCTTCTTTATTTCGACCCAACCAGGACAAAGTCTGCTGCGCTCTTTCACGTAAATGCTGAAATAAGAGGCTATAAATCTACACATGAGCATCAACAGCTAAATAAAAACACAAAGCATCACCAATTCACTTCAGTCTCATCAGCACCCAAAGCCGGAAGTGCTCAATACCGATACGTCATCAACACCTCCCAGCAACTACCGGCAAGTGTTTCGTCGTCAGAAAGATGATGAATGTTTTAAACCTTAATGAGATGGCTAAATAGAGAACATTTGAATGTGTTTATGGTCATAGATATATAAAATACGTTTATGATGCCCAAAAATGCAGTCTAGTTGGGTTCAGTAAAATAGCGTATATAATATATATATATATCTACAAGGGTTAAATTGGGATTTGTTATGTGGGGGGGCTCTATTGTATAAATTGTATGTATATGTGTGTGTGTGTGTGTGTGTTGTTGTTGTTTTTTGCAAATATGATTTATTCTGAAGCAATATTCTCATCAGTTTTCTCAGCTGTGACATATAAATCTGTGTGTTTTTTATATTTTATCCAAGGGCTTTTTTTTTTTTTTTTACCTTTATAGAGGGCATTTTCCCACTAATTTCATTAATACTTTCCTTTCAAATTCTTACATTTGAGCTATACATTTTATTATAATAATGTGATTATCTATACGTTATCAAATTAAATCATTTACACTAAAAAATACAACTGCATTAAATAATATTATGAGATTCTTTTAAATATTTTTGAATATACAAACAAGAAATGATGGTGGAAATTATACTTTTCAACGAAATTAAAACGCCAGTAGGTGCCAGTAGTGAGCATTTAATGAGTGAGTCATTGAGTCGTTCATTCGTTCAAACGGCAAATTCATCAGGGCCCGTATTTACGAAACATCTTAAGGCTAAAAGTAGTTAATAACTCGCCGATTTAGGAGAAAATCTTAAAAATAATGGGCGTGTCAGTCCTAAATTTA